TGTTCAACCCACCGTGTGTTCAACCCACCTTTTGTTCAACCCACCGTGTGTTCAACCCACCGTGTCTTAAACCCACCGTGTGTTAAACCCACCGTGTGTTCAACCCACCGTGTGTTCAACACACCGTGTGTTCAACCCACCGTGTGTTAAACCTACCGTGTGTTCAACACACCGTGTGCTCAACCCATCGTGTGTTCAACACACCGTGTGTTAAACCCACCGTGTGTTCAACCCACCGTGTGTTAAACCCACCGTGTGTTTAACCCACCGTTTGTTCAACCCACCGTGTGTTCAACCCACCGTTTGTTCAACCCACCGTGTGTTCAACCCACTGTGTGTTCAACCCACCGTGTGTTCATCCCACCGTGTGTTCAACCCACCTTTTGTTCAACCCACCGTGTGTTAAACCCACCGTGTGTTCAACCCACCGTGTGTTAAACCCACTGTGTGTTTAACCCACCGTTTGTTCAACCCACCGTGTGTTCAACCCACCGTTTGTTCAACCCACTGTGTGTTCAACCCACTGTGTGTTCAACCCACCGTGTGTTCACCCCACCGTGTGTTCAACCTACCTTTTGTTCAACCCACCGTGTGTTCAACCCACCGTGTGTTCAACCCACCGTGTGTTCAACCCACCGTGTGTTCAACCCATCGTGTGTTCAACACACCGTGTGTTCAACCCATCGTGTGTTCAACACATCGTGTGTTAAACTCACCGTGTGTTCAACCCACCGTGTGTTAAACCTACCATGTGTTCAATTTGCCGTGTGCTAAACCCACCGTGTGTTCAACCCACCGTGTGTCCAACCCACCGTGTGTTAAATCCACCGTGTGTTAAACCCACGTGTGTTCAACCCACCGTGTGTTCAACCCACTGTGTGTTAAACCTATTGTGTGTTCAACCCACCGTGTGTTCAACCCACCGGTTGTTTAACCCACCGTGTGTTCAACCCACTGTGTGTTCAACCCACCGTGTGTTTAACCTACCGTGTGTTCAACCCACCGTGTGTTAAACCCACCGTGTGCTTAACCCACCGTGTGTTCAACCCACCGTGTGTTCAACCTACCGTGTGTTCAACCCACCGTTTGTTCAACGTATCGTGTGTTCAATCCACCGTGTGTTCAACCCATCGTGTGTTCAACCCACCGTGTGTTAAACCCACCGTGTGTTCAACCCACCGTGTGTTCAACACACCGTGTGTTCAACCCACCGTGTGTTCAACCCACCGTCTGTTAAACCTACCGTGTGTTCAACTCACCGTGTGTTCAACCCATCGTGTATTCAACACACCGTGTGTTAAACCAACCGTGTGTTCAACCCACCGTGTCCTAAACCCACCGTGTGTTCAACCCACCGTGTGTTCAACCCACCGTGTGTTCAACCCACCGTGTGTTCAACCCACCGTGTGTTAAACCTACCGTGTGTTCAACCCACCGTGTGTTCAACCCACCGGGTGTTCAACCCACTGTGTGTTGAACCCACTGTGTGTTCAACCCACCGTGTGTTTAACCTACCGAGTGTTCAACCCACCGTGTGTTCAACCCACCGTGTGTTCAACCCACCGTTTGTTAAACCCACCGTGTGTTCAACCCACCGTGTGTTCAACCAACCGTGTGTTCAACCCACCGTGTATTCAACCCACCTTTTGTTCAACCCACCCTGTGTTCAACTCACCGTGTGTTCAACCCACCGTGTGTTCAACCCACCGTGTGTTCAACCCACCGTGTGTTCAATCCACCTTGTGTTCAACCCACCGTGTGTTCAACCCACCGTGTGTTCAACACACCGTGTGTTCAACCCATCGTGTATTTAACACACCGTGTATTCAACCCACCGTCTGTTAAACCCACCATGTGTTAAACCCACCGTGTGTTAAACCCACCGTGTGTTCAACCCACCGTGTGTTCAACACACCGTGTGTTCAACTCACCGTGTGTTCAACCCACCGTGTGTTAAACCTACTGTGTGTTCAACACACCGTGTGTTCAACCCATCGTGTGTTCAACATACCGTGTGTTAAACCCACCGTGTGTTCAGCCCACCGTGTGTTCAACCCACCGTGTGTTAAACCCACCGTGTGCTTAACCCACCGTGTGTTCAACCCACCGTGTGTTCAACCTACCGTGTGTTCAACCCACCGTTTGTTCAACCTATCGTGTGTTCAATCCACCGTGTGTTCAACCCATCGTGTGTTCAACCCACCGTGTGTTAAACCCACCGTGTGTTCAACCCACCGTGTGTTCAACACACCGTGTGTTCAACCCACCGTGTGTTCAACCCACCGTCTGTTAAACCTACCATGTATTCAACACACCGTGTGTTAAACCAACCGTGTGTTCAGCCCACCGTGTGTTAAACCCACCGTGTGTTCAACCCACCGTGTGTTCAACCCACCGTGTGTTCAACCCACCGTGTGTTAAACCTACCGTGTGTTCAACCCACCGTGTGTTCAACCCACCGGGTGTTCAACCCACTGTGTGTTCAACCCACTGTGTGTTCAACCCACCGTGTGTTTAACCTACCGAGTGTTCAACCCACCGTGTGTTCAACCCACCGTGTGTTCAACCCACCGTTTGTTAAACCCACCGTGTGTTCAACCCACCGTGTGTTCAACCCACCGTGTGTTCAACCCACCGTGTATTCAACTCACCTTTTGTTCAACCCACCGTGTGTTCAACCCACCGTGTGTTCAACCCACTGTGTGTTCAACCCACCGTGTGTTCAACCCACCGTGTGTTCAATCCACCTTGTGTTCAACCCACCGTGTGTTCAACCCACCGTGTGTTCAACACACCGTGTGTTCAACCCATCGTGTATTTAACACACCGTGTATTCAACCCACCGTCTGTTAAACCCACCATGTGTTAAACCCACCGTGTGTTAAACCCACCGTGTGTTCAACCCACCGTGTGTTCAACACACCGTGTGTTCAACTCACCGTGTGTTCAACCCACCGTGTGTTAAACCTACTGTGTGTTCAACACACCGTGTGTTCAACCCGTAGTGTGTTCAACACACCGTGTGTTAAACCCACCGTGTGTTCAGCCCACCGTGTGTTCAACCCACCGTGTGTTAAACCCACCGTGTGCTTAACCCACCGTGTGTTCAACCCACCGTGTGTTCAACCTACCGTGTGTTCAACCCACCGTTTGTTCAACCTATCGTGTGTTCAATCCACCGTGTGTTCAACCCATCGTGTGTTCAACCCACCGTGTGTTAAACCCACCGTGTGTTCAACCCACCGTGTGTTCAACACACCGTGTGTTCAACCCACCGTGTGTTCAACCCACCGTCTGTTAAACCTACCGTGTGTTCAACACACCGTGTGTTCAACCCATCGTGTATTCAACACACCGTGTGTTAAACCAACCGTGTGTTCAACCCACCGTGTGTTAAACCCACCGTGTGTTCAACCCACCGTGTGTTCAACCCACCGTGTGTTCAACCCACCGTGTGTTCAACCCACCGTGTGTTAAACCTACCGTGTGTTCAACCCACCGTGTGTTCAACCCACCGGGTGTTCAACCCACTGTGTGTTCAACCCACTGTGTGTTCAACCCACCGTGTGTTTAACCTACCGAGTGTTCAACCCACCGTGTGTTCAACCCACCGTGTGTTCAACCCACCGTTTGTTAAACCCACCGTGTGTTCAACCCACCGTGTGTTCAACCCACCGTGTGTTCAACCCACCGTGTATTCAACCCACCTTTTGTTCAACCCACCGTGTGTTCAACCCACCGTGTGTTCAACCCACCGTGTGTTCAACCCACCGTGTGTTCAACCCACCGTGTGTTCAATCCACCTTGTGTTCAACCCACCGTGTGTTCAACCCACCGTGTGTTCAACACACCGTGTATTCAACCCATCGTGTATTTAACACACCGTGTATTTAACCCACCGTCTGTTAAACCCACCATGTGTTAAACCCACCGTGTGTTAAACCCACCGTGTGTTCAACCCACCGTGTGTTCAACACACCGTGTGTTCTACTCACCGTGTGTTCAACCCACCGTGTGTTAAACCTACTGTGTGTTCAACACACCGTGTGTTCAACCCATCGTGTGTTCAACACACCGTGTGTTAAACCCACCGTGTGTTCAGCCCACCGTATGTTCAACCCACCGTGTGTTAAACCTACTGTCTGTTCAACACACCGTGTGTTCAACCCATCGTGTGTTCAACACACCGTGTGTTAAACCCACTGTGTATTCAACCCATCGTGTGTTAAACCCAGCGTGTGTTCAACCCACCGTGTGTTCAACCCACCGTGTTTTCAACCCACCGTGTGTTAAACCCACCGTGTGTTCAACCCACCGTGTGTTCAACCCACCGTGTGTTCAACCCACCGTGTGTTCAACCCACCGTGTGTTAAAACTACCATGTGTTCAACCCACCGTGTATTCAACCCACCGTGTGTTCAACCCACCCTGTGTTCAACCCACTGTGTGTTCAACCCACCGTGTGTTTAACCTACCGTGTGTTCAACCCACCGTGTGTTCAACCTACCGTGTGTTAAACCCACCGTGTGTTCAACCCACCGTGTGTTCAACCCACCGTGTGTTCAACCCACCGTGTGTTCAACCCACCGTGTGTTAAAACTACCGTGTGTTCAACCCACCATGTCTTCAACCCACCGTGTGTTCAACCCACTGTGTGTTCAACCCACCGTGTGTTAAACCCACCGTGTGTTCAACCCACCGTGTGTTCAACCCACCGTGTGTTAAACCTACCGTGTGTTCAACCCACAGTGTGTTCAACCCACTGTGTGTTCAACCCACTTTAGTCAGTACAAGAGTGCTCCGACCTTGTACGACGCTGTAGTCGCGCGCTACTCCTCCCTTTCCACTGCTGCACTGAGCCGTCTCATGCTACCTTACCTCTTCCCTGACCTTGCTGCCTTTCCCACCGTAGCTGACCTCATTACGCACCTCCGCACTAGTGACACTCGCTACCGCGCTGAACTTCCTACTCACTTCTGCGCCGCGAACCCCCCCCCCCCATGTACATCACTCTGTACTTCCTAGTCACTCGCCTCCCTGACTCCCTTCGAGTAGTCAGGGACCACTTTCTCTCAGTCTGTCCCACCACATTCACTTTAGACCTCCTCGAGAAGGCCCTTCTTGCGATAGAGAAGAGCATAGTCGCTGTAGGAGCCTCTCGAGGTGACCCGCGCACCCCCATCTTTGAGGGGTGTTCTCCCTCCCCCCTGCTGCCCTCTGTTGCCTCTGCTGCTGCGGCCAACATCCTTGGTCTTGAGTCGGTCGGTGCGGCGTCTGCCCCTAGTGGGAGATGCCGCCCTGGCAAGGGCAAGGGGGGCAAGGGAGCTGGAGGAGCGGGCGGTGGAGGTGGAGGTGGAGGCGGTGGCGGGAGTGGGGTTGGCGGTGGGAGTGGAGGTGGGGGTGGGGGGGCCGGTGGCGGCAGTGGAGGCGGAGGCGGCGGCGGCGGTGGCGGTGGGAGCGGAGGTGGCGGAGGAGGGGCGGTGGAGGCGGCGGCAGTAGTGGAGGCAGCGGAGGTGGCGGAGGCGGCGGGGGTGGCGGTGGAGCTGGTCGCGGGTCTTCGCAGAGGAGTGGCTCCGGTGGTGGCTCACGCCAGCAGCAGCAGCGCGGTCGTGAGACCCTGTCCCCTGAGCAGCTCCGTGGGTGGTACACTGCACGCCAGCGGGGTGGGGGTTTTGGTCCGTGCACCTACGTCTTGCGCACCGCAACTGTGCGGGTGAGTAGTGTGGGGGTGCGCACCCCACCCTGCGCTGCTTTGGCCGCCTGACAAACGTGTGGCGTCACCATTTCCCGGAGGCCTCAGAGATCCCTCGCTGGGGCGAGCTGTCTAGGGCGGGTGTTGCCATCTTTGATCTTGACTTTGATGCTATTCTCTCTGCCATGTATGCTGTGTCTATTAGTGATGAGGGTGACTGTTACCGGTGTTTCCCGCCCGATCCGGGCATTGAATCTGCTGCTCTATGTACTGGTGCGGCTGCTGCCCTAGGTGCTTGCGACGCTGCTGCTCTAGGTGCTAGTGTGTCTGCGTCCTCAGGTACTGGTGAGTCTGCGCTCTCAGGTACTACGTCGGCTTCGGCCTCCCTCACCTTCACCCTTGACTCTGGGGCGTCTCGCTCCTTCTTTCGAGACCGCACCACACTCACGCTGCTTAGTCGGCCGGTTGCGGTGTCTCTGGCTGACCCCTCCGGGGGTCCTGTACTGTCTCGCTTCTCCACAGTCCTCCCGTGTCCGGCGGCTCCCTTTGGCACCCTATCTGGACTCTACCTCCCCTCGTTCTCGACGAACCTGGTGAGTGGTGCTGACCTACAAGATGCGGGTGTCCACCAGTTCACTCCTGCGTGTCAGCGAAAATGGGATTGCTGAGCGCCGCATTGGCATGGTCATGAACGTCGCTCGTAGGTCTATGATGCATGCAGCTGCCCCCCATTTTCTGTGGCCGTTTGCGGTGAGGTACGCGGCGCATCAGATCAACCTCCACCCTAGGGTCTCCGGGCCGGAGACCTCCCCAGCCCTGCTGTTGGCGATGCATCGGCGCTCCGGGTCTGGGGATCTCGGGCGTTTGTCCGCGACTTGTCTGCGGACAAGCTGTCCCCTTGTGCTGCTCCTTGCGTCTTCCTGGGGTCACCCCCTGACGCGCCATGGTGGCAGTTCTACCACCCCACCTCTCGACGTGTTTTGTCCTCCCAGGACGTCACGTTTGACGAGTCGGTCCCCTACTACCGCCTCTTCCCGTACCGCACTCCGTCCCTCCCCCCACCCCCGCTCTTCCTTGTACCAGGTCCCACCCAGGTAGACCCCCTTCCCCTTTAGGGTCCTGCCCCTTCAGGTGTGTCCCAAGTAGACGCAGTCGAGCCTGACGAGGTCACTGGTGACTTTGTTGCTGCTGGGGGTGCTGAGCCTGGGGGTGGTGGACGAGGGGGTGCGGAGTCTGGGGGTGCTGAGCCTCGCGGTGCTGCGTCTGGGGGTGCTGGGCCTGGGGGTGCTGGGCCTGGGGGTGCTGAGCCTGGGGGTGCTGCGCCTAGGGGTGCTGCGTTCGGGGGTGCTGAGCCTGGGGGTGCTGAGCCTGGGGGTGCTGCGCCTGGGGGTGCTGAGCCTGGGGGTGCTGCGTCTGGGGGTGCTGAGCCTAGGGGTGCTATGCCTGGGGGTGCTGAGCCTGGGGGTGCTACACCTGGGGGTGCTGAGCGTGGAGGCGCTCCGCCAGGAGGTTCTCCGGATGCTTCGTCTCGCTGGGAGCCACTCTCTCCACTGGAGCTGCGCGAGTGGTTTGCCCGGCGCTGGCGCCGTACTGCTGGTGCTGGAGGTTCTTCGGCTGCTGAGGGTGCTGCTGGGCCTGCGGGTTCGACTGGAGCTGGTGCTCCTAAGGGTGTTGGCACTGAGACTACCGCTGGCGGTCCTGCTGGGGGTGCTCCTAGTGGTGCTGGAGGTTCTGGAGCTTCTGGAGGTGCTACTGGAGCGGGTGCTCCTGCTGAGGGTACTGGTGAGGTCCCTGCTGCTTCAGGCGTCGCGGCGCGGCCTCGACCGTACTTTCTTCCACTCCCGCAGCAGGTTCTTGGTCTTCCACCTTCTACTGGTCCTCCTCCTCCCTTAGAGTGTCCACAGCCTGTCTAGTCACAGTGACAGTTGCAGCCTTCCTCCTCTTTGCCTGCTCCTTCTCCCTACACAGGTCCTATTGGAGGTCTTGCTGAGCGTCGTTAGCCTGCGTCCCGCCCTGCGTCGCCTGTCCGTGCTGCTCGCACTAGTGGTCGTGGTTCGCGTCAGCGTCCTCCTCTTGTCCCTGGCATGCACCGGATATCTCTACGTCCGTTGAGTGCTCCTCTGCGTGCCCCTTTGCCTTCTCCTCCTAAGTCCTCTCTTCCTGCTCTTGCCGACCCGGAGTCGGACTCTCTTAGTGCTGCCAGTCCTACTGTCACGCGTCTCCTTGCTAGTGTCGTCACTGACCCTTCTTTGAGTCTACTGCTGCGTCTGCTCTAGTTGCTGAGCTCGTCGACTTTGCTGCTCGCTGTCGCTTAGACTACGCTGCTAGTCTTGTCGCTGAGTCTGAGTCTATCTGTCCTCCGTCTGTCGGGGGTGAGTGTGCTCTTGGCACGGACGTCCTTGAGGACAGGCAGGAGGAGTTCCAGTGTCTGGCAGCTGCTTCAGCTCATCTCGTGTCACTGCTTACCCCTTAGGGAGACCCGGATGCACTTGACATCCCGACTTCGCGCTCTTACGGGAGGCGATAGAGGGTCCCTACTCCTCTCAGTGGCAGGCAGCTATGGATGCAGAGATGGCTTCCTGGAAGTCCACAGGCACCTACGTTGACGCCGTCCCCCCTCCTTTCGAACCTTATTAGCTCACTAGATTTATATATTTCCCACCTTCTGATCGAGTGAGACTGCTAGATTCCCTTTACTTTTTGAGAAATGAGCGTTTCTGTTCTCCCTGGCCCTACTTGCACTATAAGTGCGAAATGCCGGCCAGACTGGCCGATGCACCATTTTCTCTACACATGTGCGTTAGTTACCTTTCAAACCCTTACGTTCACTAGATGAATATATTTCCTATCTTCTATTTGAGTGAGACCACTAGATTCCGTGTACTATGCGAGATCTGAGCGCTTCCGTTCTCCCTTGCATTTGCATTTGAAGTTCCCATACTTACCGACCTGGCCAATGCACTATTTTCCATATAAATGTGCATTAGATACCTTTTGAACTTTATTAGCTCACTAGATTTATATGTTTCCCACCTTTTGATCGAGTGAGACTGCTAGATTCCCTTTACATTTTGAGAAATGAGCATTTCCGTTCTCCCTCGCCCTACTTGCACTATAAGTGCGAAATGCCGGCCAGACTGGCCGATGCACCATTTTCTCTACACATGTGCGTTAGTTACGTTTCAAACCCTTACGTTCACTAGATGAATATATTTCCTACTTTCTATTTGAGTGAGACCACTTGATTCCGTGTACTATGCGAGATCTGAGCGCTTCCGTTCTCCCTGGCATTTGCATTTTAAGTTCCCATACTGACCGACCTGGCCAATGCACCATTTTCCCTATACATGTATACGTGTATGTGCGTTAGATACCTTTCAAACCTTTTTAGCTGACTAGATTAATATATTTCCCACCTTCTATTCGGGTGAGACCGCTCGATTCCCTCGGCTTTTTGAAAAACGAGCGATTCTGTTCTCCCTGGCCCTACTTGCACTATAAGTGCGAAATGCCGGCCAGACTGGCCGATGCACCATTTTCTCTACACATGTGCGTTAGTTACCTTTCAAACCCTTACGTTCACTAGATGAATATATTTCCTACCTTCTATTTGAGTGAGACCACTAGATTCCGTGTACTATGCGAGATCTGAGCGGTTCCGTTCTCCCTGGCATTTGCATTTTAAGTTCCCATACTGACCGACCTGGCCAATGCACTATTTTCCATAAAACTGTGCATTAGATACCTTTAGAACCTTATTAGCTCACTAGATTTATATATTTCCCACCTTCTGATCGAGTGAGACCGCTAGATTCCCTTTACGTTTTGAGAAATGAGTGTTTCCGTTCTCCCTGGCCCTACTTGCACTATAAGTGCGAAATGCTGGCCAGACTGGCCGATGCACCATTCTCTCTACACATGTGCGTTATTTACCTTTCAAACCCTTACGTTCACTAGATGAATATAATTCCTACCTTCTATTTGAGTGAGACCACTATATTCCGTCTACTATGCGAGATCTGAGCGCTTCCGTTCTCCCTGGCATTTGCACTCTAAGTTCCCATACAGACCGACCTGGCCAATGCACCATTTTCCATATACATATGCATTAGATTCCTTTCGGACCTTATTAGCTCACTAGATTTATATATTTCCAACCTTCTGATCGAGTGAGACCGCTAGATTCCCTTTAGTTTTTAAGAAATGAGCGTTTTCGTTCTCCTTGGCCCTACTTGCACTATAAGTGCGAAATGCCGGCCAGACTGGCCGATGCACCATTTTCTCTACACATGTATGTTAGTTACCTTTCAAACCCTTATGTTCACTAGATGAATATATTTCCTACTTTCTATTTGAGTGAGACCACTTGATTCCGTGTACTATGTGAGATCTGAGCGCTTCCGTTCTCCCTGGCATTTGCATTTTTAGTTCCGATACAGACCAACCTGGCCAATGCACCATTTTCTCTATACATGTGCGTTAGATACCTTTCTGCGGAGATAACTACAGCAATTGGAGCTAGGCTACGGGCTAGGCACGTGTGCTTGTGTGATCTCTGTGTTCGTTCACTTGGTCGTTTCCTTGTGTTCACGCTCCTTGCTAGTTCACGGGAAGAATTTGCAAGAGTTTCACTAGGAAAACATGACAACAATGATCGCAACAACATTGGCACCACAGACTACATCAATGCTAGCTAGGCTGCTGGTCGACCTCCAGCGTTGCACAGTAGCGGTTCGCCAACGTTGCGAGTCCACGGTGTGCCAGCGCTGCACTAAGACGGCTGCACAGCGTTGCATCCGCAGGACAACGGTGCACCTGCTTCGCAGGTGCGCGCAGCTGGTTGGTGCGCACTCCCTTGCCACGTGCACAACGCAGACGCCTGGCAGACTCCACGCCAGCGGCTGTGTTCACCAGCCACGTCGACCCCGGGATACGACCCCTGAGGTCGGCCTCGCAGTCTCTACGCTGGTGACACTTGCGCATGTCGCCCTGGTATCCTGATCGACCGGGCAACCACGCCTGGTCGGCTCATGCAGTCCGTAGCCGGCCACGCATGCCCGGCGTCCCCAGTCCGACGTCTTGGCGCCCAGGATGCCTTCCAAACCCCCAGGTCAGCGTGCCCAGGACGCCGACCAGACCTCCAGAGCGGTGTCCCTCCTCCCAGGACGCCGACGAGACACCCAGGTCTGTGTCAGGGCCCCCGAGACGCCCAGGTCGGCGTCCGGACCCCCCGGACGCCATGCAGACGCCCAGGACGTCGACCTGGCGTCCGGGTGGTCATGGCGACGCCCAGCTCGGCGTCGCCCAGGCGTCCAGGGCGGCGTCCTCCTGCTCGGCGCCCTCCAGCCAGGCGCCTTCCAACTCGCTGCCCTTGCAGTGGCCCCCGTGCCCACTGCTGCAGGTCGGCTGCAACCCTCGCACATCCGACCAAAATGTTGGCTCCGCCCAAGCAAGGACGGGGCCTTACAATGCTCCCGTTGACACTCCCTTGCCGCGTTCACGCTTGGGCCCCTCAGCCCATACGGCAGTACAGCTCCGAGAATAGCCCGTCGGCGTGCACCCAACACACAGCACGCCGATCAGCGCACCAGCCATGCAAGAGGGCATGGCACCTACTGCTGCACGTCGTTGTCGCCGTCGTTCACGTCGGCCAAGCGCACCTGGCCGATTGCGACGGAGCACCGGTTGAAGGCCGGGTAGTGCAGCGCCTTCGTCAGGAAATCAGCCGGCTGCTCGGTGATTGGGATGTACCTCAGCGAGAACTTCCTGCGCCTCACCATGTGCTGCAGCCAGGCCTGTCGCCGCTCCATGTGCTTGAGGTTGCCTGTCAACCCCATGCCCTCGGCGACCGTGATAGCCGACTTGTTGTCCACGTGCAGGATAGTCGGCTTCTCGGCGTCCAGTTGCCAGAATTCTGCGAGGAGAAAACGAAGGCGGCGTCCCTCCTTGCCAGCTTCAGTGGCCGCCACGTACTCCGACTCAGTCGACGACAACGTCACGCACTTGATGCGCTGGCTCGACCAGGAGACGGCAGCCCCTCCGTAGACAAACACATAGCCGCTCGTGCTCGTCCTGTTCTGCTTGTCATCGGCGTCGTCGGCGTCCACGTAGCCAACCAGCTCCAGCGACTCAGGTCCACCGCCGAACTCCAGGTCAGTGTCACGTGTGTTGGCGAGGTAGGCCAGGGGGCGGTCGACCTCGCGCCAGTGCTGGTCGCTCCTCACCGTGAGGCCGCTCCCCAGCTTGCTGCAGGCGAAGGCGATGTCGGGCCTCGTCGTCATCGCCGCGAACTGCAACGAGCCGACCTTCTGCCGGTACTCCTCCTCCTGCCGTTCCTGCGCCTCCTCGTCATTGAAGGTGAGCTCGGCGTAGGCACCAACCGAGACCGGCGTCTTCGGGGTGCGCTCGGTCTGCTCCTCGTCGAGGAAGCGCCTACGCAGCTTGTCGGCGTAGCCCTGCTGGTGCAGCCACAGCCTCCCCGCCGACCTGTCGCGCACGATCTCCAGCCTAAGGTACTTATGCACTGGCGAGATCTCGCGCAGCTCGAAGGCGGCTTCGAGCAGCTCCTTCAGCTCCTTCAGCATCGCAGTGCTGCTGCTGGCGGCAAGCAGGTCGTCGACGTAGACCAGCACCCAGCAGGCCACTCCACCTTCCCCGACCTTGAAGTAAAGAGCCTCGTCGACCTGGCTCTTCTTCCACCCGGCGCCGACCAGCACATCGTTGAGCGCCAAGTACCACAACAGCGGCGACTGCTTCAGCTCGTACAGGCTCTTTAGCAGCTTACACAACCGGCCGGTTCCATCGTTGAAGTAGTCCGGCTGGGACATGTACAACACCCGATCGAGCTTGCTCTGCAGGAAGGCGTTCTTCATGTCGAGCTGCATCAGGTTGAGGTTGAGGACAGCGACGATGCTGAGGAAGATACTCAAGGTGACGTAGCTGCTCACCGGCGCGAACGTCTCGTCGTAGTCGGCGCCGTACACCTGTGTGAAGCCCTTCACGACCAGCCTCGCCTTCTCTCGCTCGACGGTGTCGTCGATGTGGTACTTCGTCGTCAACACCCACCGGTTCTTCATGACGTTCACCCTCGGCGGGCGTTCGACCAGCTCCCAAGTGCCCATGTTGATGAGACTGCGAATCTCCTCCTCCATGGCGGCCTTCACCGCCGGGCCCTTCCAGCTCGCCAATGCCTCCTTCACCGTCATCGTCGAGATGTCCCAACGGTGCTCGGGGCCGGCTAGCATGTCAGGGTCGAGCTCCGGAAACTCCTCATCAT